CAGGTGTCGCGGCGCGGGCGGGGGAGTGGGGGAGGGGTCACTCGAGGGCATTGCAGCAGGTACCTTTACAGGTACCTTTGTTGGCCCGCGGGGGCTTGCGGCGGTCGGCTCGGCTGCTTGGTTGGCTGCGTCGCGCAGGGACGGGCGGACTGACGGACGGACGACGCTGTGAGTTGAACAACTTTTTGTTGCCCAAGGCTCCTCTCTCTTTGCTTGCTGACTGACTGACTGCGGAGGAGAGGTTTGAGTTTATTGCCACTGAACATGTCTCATGTCGCGAACAGTTACAACCAAGTCAATAAAATATAAGTTTGAATGAATGGAATAAATTAGAGAAGTACACTGGAAAACGCAAGTTTGTGTCAGGTGTGTGAATACAATGCGTACACATCAAAGAGCGGAGGTGTTAATTTTCCTTTGAAATTCAAACTTGAGCTTGTGCATATGTGTACGAATGGGGTTCATACACATTTTAAGCACCACAGTCTTCGCAATTTATTTATTTTTGAAATAAATGTTTTCGAAAAATCGAGGGGGACGAGGTTCCTTCTCTGTGAGGTCTGTGTCCTCCGCCTCGGGGCGCAAGGTGGGTGGGTCCCCCGTACGTCTCTCTCGTTGTCTCTCCCTGCGCCGTCTGCGGCACCTTCTTCTCCCCCTACCTTTTCCGCTCCTCCTCCTTTGGCCCGATAGAGGGTTTTTCGTTTTTATTGCGCTGCCATGAATATTTTATTCGGCGACGCCAACAGCTGGGGAGTAAATATGGTCCGGCCCGCGGCCCCTCCTGGGGCTCCTTTCTGTTTCCCCGCGTGTTTCCGGCCCCTGAAAAATTCAGTGTGAAATGTTGATCGCTTTGTGGTGTGAATCATTTATCTGGCGGCTGTGTGCTGACCAGGTATGCGAATTTTCAGAATAGTAAGAATTTGCAGACGCAGAAGTAACAATTTGTAACAAAAAGTTAGAGAGTTTTCTTTGAAAAACAGATAAACTGAACGGGAAAGTGTCCAGCTTAAGCCGGTTGCGTTGTGCTGGGGGCAGCGTGTAGTGTTGTAGAGCAACCCCTCCCCCCTCCCTCCTATCTCTGCACTACATACTGTACTACTTGTACCTGACGGGGCGCCCGCCGCGCCACGCTACGCCTCGCCCGGCTGTGGTTCTGCGGCGAGGAGCAGAGACGCGCTCTACTAAGCATCCAAAGCCAGGCCCTCGTGGCCAGCAGCGGCGGAACAAGGTAGAGCGAGAGAGAGAGAGGGGTGTGCGGGGGGAGGGTATCGTTTCGCGTTACGAGGTGCGGATGGCTGTGTGTGTACCGCGTGGCGAGTGCGGCCTCACGTTACAGACTCGCTGGCCGGCGAGGGTCGCGGGGTTGGATGGCCCCGCTATGGAGAAGGTGGTGGTGGTGCTCCTGGAGGTGGCGCTGGACCTGCGGGAGAGCCTCTCATGGAGCCTCTCATGGAGCCTCTCATGGAGCCTCTCCTGCACCGCGAGGGACTCGGGCCGCGGCGCCGCCGGCAAGTGTAAGCGGGACACGCCAGGTGATGACTCATAGCGCGGTGGGGGGAGGGGG